AGGGTCTGAGGAAGTGTTTGCTGAAAACAATTATATGCGATTCTTTTAACTTTGTGGCTGCCTGAGGCAATGGATAAGAATTGGGGCAAGCAATAAATAGACTAACCAGAAAGTTTAAAAGAAAAAATGCAGAGTGATATATCCATCTGGGCTTTTAAAAGCTCTGAAATATTCTTTGGAATCTAGAAGGCCATGTACATTCTCAGGAAAGACCTGAGCTCTCACCTCTGACTGACTTTGATGTTCTGTGCAGCAGGAAGTGAAGGCTGAGGGAGAGTTGTAATCTGCCTGGCCGAGTCTTGTTGAAGGCGTGCTCCAACATTCACACAGAGCACTTCAAGCAAAGACTGGATGATTTATTGTTTTCAGGTGTTTAAGGAAATCTCTGTCCAATTAGTAGCTGATGACAGCTAACTGAGTATTCAGTAGCTGTATGCAACAAAGACCTTACAGAATTAATTCAGAAAAGTTGCTAAACAAACTATGACAAGAAGTAATAACAGCAAACCCTAGGGAGGAGGAGAATCTGATTTCCAGAATTCCCACATTACATTATTTTAAATGTCCAGTTTTCAACAAAAAGTTATGAAACATACAAATAAATAAGAAAGTATGACCATACATGGGGGGTGAGGGAAGGAATCAATACAAACTATCTTTGAGGTAGGCCAGATGTTGGACTTACTAAACAAAGACTTTAAATAAGCTATTTTTAGTGTGTTCAAAGAGCTAAAAGAAAGCATGGGAATGATGTCTCACCAAATAGAAAATATTAATAAAGTGATAGAAATTAAGAGGAACTACAAAGAAATTCTGCAGTTAATAATTACAATAACTGAAATGAAAAATTAACTAGAGATGTTCAACAGCAGATTTGAGTAGGTAGAAGAAGGAATCAGTGGACTTGAATATAAGTCAGTTGAGATTATCCAATATGAGGAACAAAAACTAAAAAGAATGAAGACAAGTGAATAGAACCCCAGAGACCTGTGGGACAATATCAAATGCACCAATACATGCATAATGGGAGGCCCAGAAGGAGATGAGTGAGAAGGGCAGAAAGAACATTTGAACAAATGGCCAAAATTTTCCCAAATTTGATGAAAGACATCAATTTTCAAATCCAAGAATCTCAAAAAATCTCCAAAGAGGATAAATTCAGAGAGATCCACACCTAGACACATCATAATCAAACTGTCAAAAGACAAAGACTAAGAGAGAATCTTGAAATCAGTGAGAGAAACCACTTATCATTTATAAGGGATCTTCAATAAGGCTAACAGTAGATTTCTCATCAGAAACCATGAAAGCCAGAAGGCAATGGGATGACATATTCAAAATGCTGAAGGGAAAATGCTTGTCAACCAAGAATTGCATGTCCAGCAAAATTATCCTTCAAAAATGAAGGAGAAATTAAGATATCCCCAGATAAACAAAAACAATTTATTTCTAGTAGACCTGCTCTACAAGAATTGATGAGGTAATTAAAATGGTATTAGAAAAAATATAACACAAAAGAAAGCAGGAATGGAGAAAGAGAGGGACATGAGACATACAGAAAACAAATTGTAAAAGTGCCAGACCTAAATCCTACCTTAACAGTAATTACATTAATGCAAATAGATTACTTTCCAAATAAAAGGCAGAGATTGGGAGAAGGGATTAAAAAATAACTATGTGCTGTCAACACTTTAGATTCAAAACACAAGTAGGTTGAAAGTAAAGAGATGAAAAAAGATATACCAGGCAAACAGCACCCAAAAGAAAGCTAGAGTGGCTACACTAATATCAGACAAAATAGACTTTAAGTCCAGAAATGTTACTAGGGACAAAGAAGGACATTTTATAATGATAAAAGAGCCAATTCTTCAGGAAGATATTATGATTATAAACATATATACACACCTAAAAACAGAGCCTCAAGGGGCCAGCCCTGTGGCCTAGTGGTTAAGTTCAGCACTCTCCACTTCAGTGGCCTGGGTCTGGTTCCCAGGCGTGGACCTGCACCACTCGTTGACAGCCGTGCTCTGGTGGTGACCCACATGCAAAGTAGAGGAAGGTTGGCACAGATGACTCAGGGCGAACCTTCCTCAAGCAAAAGAGGAAGATTGGCAACAGATGTTAGCTCAGAGCAAAGCTTCATCAGCAAAAAAAAACAAAAACAGAGCCTCAAAATACATGTAAAGTAAAGCTGATAGGCTTGAAGGGAAAAATAAACAATTCAACAATAATTATTGGAGGCCTCAATACTTCACTTTCAATAATGGATAAAACAATTAGCAGATCAGCAAGAAAACAGGAAACTGATTGCTATATAATCCAACTAGACCTGACAGACTGTACAGCTCCATAGAGTACGCCACACAGCAACAGCAGAAGCCACATTCTTCTCAAGTGCACATGGAACATTCTCCAGACAGACCATATATTAGGCCATAACAAGTCTCGGTTAAGTTAAAAGGATTGAAATTATACAAAGAATGTTCTCCAACCAGAGTGAAATGAAACTGGAAATCACTAACAGAAGGAAAACTGGAAAATTCACAAATCTGTGAAAATTAAACAGCATTCTTCTATATAACTAATGCATCAAAGAAGAAATCACAAAGGAAATCAGAAAGTACTTTGAGATGAATGAAAATGACAACGCAACATACCAAAATGTATGGGAGCAGTGAAACCAGTGCTTAGAGAGAAATTAATAGCTATAAAATGCCTAAATTTAAAAAGGTCTCATCAATAACATGAACTTCCACTTTAAGAAACTAGAAAAAGAAAATCAAACTAAACCCAAAGCTAGTAGAAGGAAGGAGATAATAAGGATTAGAGTGGAGAAAAATGAAATTGAGAATAGAAAACAATAGAAAGAATCAATGAACCTGAAAGTTGGTTCTTTGAAAAGATCAACAATATTGACAAACTTCTAGTGAAACCGAGAAAAAAAAGGGAGAAGATGCAAATAACTAATATCAGAAATGGAAGTGAGGACATTATTACTAACCTTACAGACGTAAAAAGGAATGTAAGGAAATGGTATGAGCAACTGTATGCTGTTCAACTAATTAGATAACCTAGATGAAATGGACAAATTCCTAGAAAAAGACAACCTACAGAAATTGACTCAGGAAGAAATAGAAAATCTGAACAGATCTGTAACAAGTAAAGAGATAGAATTAATTATAAAGAAGTCTAGTATGGAGGTGAGGATCTCAGAGATGAACAACAGAGCACTCTGGGCTACCTCAAAGCACGTGGACAGGATAATAGTAAGAATGTCAGCTTTGTCCTGGAGGAAGTAAATTAAATTGTTTCACCCACTCAATAGTCTGGAAGGAGCCTACCTTCCTGCTCCATACCCATGCTCCTTAGAGCAAAGCCAGGGAAATGACCACCAAGCCCTTTACACAGGCCCAGCGTCACTGTGAACAGGAGGGAGTGCCTGTGCTTACCATCCTGCTAGTCATCCATTTATTAGGACTGACCACTCAGAAAGGCCCACCAGCCACTGAAGAAAATCAGCCCTATTGTATACAATAGACATGTAAGTAAGCACATCACATCTGGCAGCCAGGTAGGCATATATTTGATTATGTCCATGTGGTTTAAGAGAATAAAACCTTTCCAGCTGTTCCCCTGGGGAGAGGATGCGGGTTTAGTGAGAGCTCCAGGAGTGAAACTTCCATACACAAGACACATTTACATTTTTCAGTAACTGGGTTCCTATACTGTGTGAAAATTGAAACTGAAATAACAAACAGTGTAATTTACATATATTTTCTGTTAAAACTAGTGAGTTTATATCCACATGAGGTGAGTGGGCCAGTTCAAATTCATATTCCCTAAATAAATAAGGGATCTCTCCATGACACATTAATATGAGTCTTCACTGAGAAAGACAAATGGACATATTAAGGCAATTAGTCTATTTATCAAGGTAAATACCAAATACTGCCTCTAAAAAGAAAGAGGGAGGGGAAAAGAGGGTGAGGAGAGGTCACCGTTAGAAATAGAGGAGAGGAAGGAGGGGTGCAGAGGAGGATGACCAGGGGACATGAAGATGAGCGGGAAACGGGGGCTGGGTAAGCGATAGGGAGGGGGAATTTAGGGAAAGAGAAAGTGAAGCAGACTCTGAAATACTGCGCAAATTCCATGCAGACATTTATTAGGCCTTATCTGAAACATGTTAGAGAGACTGGGTTTGCATACTAATGAAAGCTTGACCAAAAAAATATGTATTTTTAAGAAATGTATACAATTTTAGGCTCTCATTGACATTAAATGATCGATGTATTTAAGAGCTTTCCTTGCAGAAACACACCCGTCTGCCCAACTGAGGGACCAGTGCTGTGCCACCCCAAACTATGGATTCCCACCACGTGCCAATTCCCAGCTCCAGTTCACCCAGGAATGGGTCCTCAGCAGCGGAAGGGAACAAGCAAGAGGAAGGTGTGTGTGTGTGTGTGTGTTGGGGGTGGTGTTGGAGCCCACAGTCCCTCCTTTCTCTCCTCCAACGCTGCTCCCCTGGCCCCAGCTCTGCCCTTCTTAAGCCCCCACCTCCTGCCCTGGGACCAAACAACAAGCAGTTTGTGGAGTCTCGTTCTTCCCTGGAAAGGCAGGAGTCTGCCCAGTTCTTTGTGCAATTAAAGCCTGAAAATACGTATGCCCTTTTCTCTATCCTCTACTTCAGGATCCTCTACTTCAGGATCAAGTAGAGGAGGCGGGCGAGCAGAGGAAGGACGTTTTCGCCTGTGTCTTTTATGTAAAGGAAGCCTTCTAAAGTTATTATGAACATATCTGAGGGACTGGAATGTTGGGAGAAACAAGAGACTCTCTTCAATTTTGTAGGTGGCCCAGGACAGGCAGAAATCTGGGTCTGAGACATTTAAAGTCGACAGGAGAGAAAAGCAACGGGGCTGAGTTCTTGGGACAACTCAGAGAAGTAAACTGAAGAAAAATGAAAAATCATGTTTTGGAGACACTCTAGCAAGACAGAGATTTACCTTCATGGCCCAGGACACCTGAAGCTGGGGCCCTGGCCACCAGTTAGTGATGTCCCCATCACTGGATCAAGCCCGAGAGCCCCACCCTCCTCAGAAGCCAGTTTCAGACTGGAGTGGTTGTGTGCCTAGGGCCCTAGTTGCGTAGAACTCAGAATGCCGCGACCTCTAGGTATGTTGTTACGTGAGACAGGAGGTTCTGGAACACTGTGAGCACAGGTGACTTATGGGTCACCTGGAAACCAACCACAGCAAACACCATTTTAAGTGAAAATATTCTAAGTTACAGACGGCTTAAAGGATCTCAGTTTGTGGAGGTCCTTAAATGATGTTCTACCCAATATCCTTATGTCATTTTTAACATCTCAGTCCAACAGTTTTCAGAGAAAAAGCTTATCAGAGTGACAGTCTAACTTGACCCAGGCAGCTTTTTCCTGTCATTGTAGCATAATGTCAACATTTCTTTTCTCCATTTATTAATCATATAATACCCCTAAATCCTCAAGAAAACTATTTGAAAAAAGTTATTATGGCACCTTGCATTTGATGTGTGCTCTATAAAAGTTTATCATTTTGAAAAGTGATTCAATGTGTGAATGAATAATTCCTAAGGAGAAACACAGAAGTGCAGAACATCTGTCTTCCCAGATTAAAATTGTGCCAACCAGTATAAAAACCTGGAATTGTGATAGTCATTCCACACATTTCACACACCAAGAAAATCTGATGCTTAGCATAAATATTTTTGGAACATCTAATAATTTAATACTTTATATTAGAGTTGTCCCTTTTACATTTCTAGTAAATCTGACACATAAAGGCCACCTCAACTCCATGTAAGTGACACGGTGCATGTCTGTTATGCTGCAGCCACACTGCCGTCAGCTTGCCCAGTCTCAGACTTCTTCTCCAGGGCCTGGACAAGTAAGTAAAATGCTCCACTGACGTGGGGACTCCTCAACTTCTGGAAACAAGGGGATCAGTCTGAGTTCTAAGAGAGGTGAGGAGCGACGGCTTTAATTTCTTGGATATCTGCTTGCTTTTCCTCCTCTTGCCAGCTCATGACCAGCTCTGTTTGATCAGAGCTGGGTAAACCCACATCGTGCACACTCGCCTTCAGGCTCTGCTTGCTGTTTATAGGGGGCTACCAGTCTTGAGTTTTGCCTGAGCACGAGTCGCTGGTGACAGATCCTGAGGAGAGGGAAGATGAGGCAACTGAGGGTGAAGCGGGTGAGGCCCTCGTGAGGAGCTTGTCCTTCCTGACAAGGGGAGGGAAACCACTGAGACAGTCTAAGCTGTCACTGTCATAGTCACCTTTGTGTGCACCATTCTGGCACTCTGAAAGGATGGCATTGAGAGTCATCAGCGTCAGGGGTGGGGAGCTCTAGAAGATGGCAATTTATCAAACCCTCAAGAGATCGCCTTGGCTAAGCCAGTGGTTGCAGGAAGAAAGAGGAGGAAAAGGAGCCGGGAACAATTTAGGAATTGACGCAGTGTGCAGGGCTTGGAGACTGGGGGGAGTGGGAGAGAGAGGAGAGAGCTGAGGCAGCGTCAAGGCGGATTCTCGGGCACCTTGTTCCCTAGCAGCTGAGACAGAGAATAAGTAACAGGGCAAGGCCGTAGGACCAGAGCTCAGCCCAGGGACACGACACAGCAGAGTGGGCCTCATCGCAGGTGATTTCTCTCTCCAAAACGTGCCAACGGCTCTGAATGGTTTGGTTTAACTTTCTTAACTGCAAAAAAACTGAAAATGTAGCTGTTTTCCCCCTAGTAAATGTGATACCGAACCTGAAGTGAGTTCGCTCACCCATTGCGCAGCAAGCCAATCTCTGACACCGGGTGTGGTGGAAGAAAGTAGGAATTTTATTTTTGCACAGCGCTGAGCAAGGAGAGAGGGCAGCTAACACTGAAATCCCAAACTCCCCAAAAAGCTAAAAGGAAGGGTTTTTATTTGGGGTTTTAGGTAAGGGAGGGGAGCATATGGCCTTGCTGATCAGCAGCTTCCCCACCAGCCTGTATCTCTTTGTGGGGAGGAGATAATCCAGGTGCTTGTCCTTGGCAGTGTCTGTCTCCATGGAGGACAGTAGATTCTGGAGCCAGGAAGCCAGAGAGTAAGCAGGGAATGAGTATTTTGGTTTTAACCCCATATGTGCTGGGTTTAATGTGGGGAAGCTGATATCAAATGATATCAAAGGGTCGATATCAAATGCATCCCACTCACTTAGACCCAACGGGGTGAAATGAGGCAACAAGTCAGGAACTGTGCTTACCCTGCAGCCCCACTGTGCCAGCGCCTCTAAGCAACGTCCCTGGCTTGAAAAGTCACACACTGGCTTGTGCAATTCTGCTGTGATTTGGGGGGGATAAAATGAAACAAAACAAAAAAACAACAAAACAATAAAATTCCTTGGTGCTATTTGCCTTTGCTCCCTAGAGAATGGAGAAACATGGGAACGTGCGGTCAGAGGTGCTGCCATCTAACCAGGACATCAAAATGGCATACACATGAAAATCACTGGGCACGCTGCCCACTTCAATTCAATGTGAAGTCATCGTGCATTCTTGCTTCAGAACCTTGAAATGTGACATGTAAGGAAGAGGGGAAGCCACCTGAGTAGAATTTTCAGCTTTTGTTAGGCCTCAGAGAGAAGCTTTCCATCCTGCAAGTCGTCTTGTGTTTGGGTGTGCCCTTGACCAGGTCTTATTAAAAAGAGAAGACATTGGGGCTGGCCGGTGGTGTCTCGGTTATAAGTTCGCACGTTCCACTTTGGCGGCCCGGGTTCGCCGGTTGGATCCCAGGTGTGGACCTACGCACCCCTTGTCAAGCCATGCTGTGGCAGGCGTCCTACATATAAACAAGAGGAAGATGGGCATGGATGTTAGCTCAGGGCCAGTCTTCCTCAAAAAAAAAAAAAAAAAGAGAGAGAAGACATTGTTGGGATTTGAATAAAGGGAGAGATGGTCAAAGCCACACACATACCAGAAGGCTGAAAGTACAAGGTGCCTGAAGCTGACTGTAATTTACTGGGGGCATCCTTCTCCTAGGGGTGCCTCACAATCCACGGGGCAGGGGACGAATTCAGACTGATACAGCGTGCGTTAAATTCTCGGTGTGCTGCATTCTCTCTCCCTCCACAGGTCATGGCAAACCCTGGTCACACTATTTCACTCTTCCTGTCCCCAAAGGGCAGGCACACACTAAATGCTCACTAAATGCCTTCTTGTTGAATCATTTCTATTTCCTTGTAAAAGCTGACCCTGATTTTGAGGAATTCAAGGAAAGAAGAGAGTAGGAGAAGCAAGTGAAATAAGATTCCTTCTTTCACAACAGGTAACACATTTCTTGGTATAAGGAGTAAAATCAACATTACTTTTTTACAAGAAAATAGCTTTCAATATATTACTGAACAAACTATTGATGGAGAATAGTCTATGCACAGAGGGCCTCTGGAAAACTGACCATCTCTGGATGGTGGTATTTCAGCAATTTCTCCTTCTTTATTTGAATTTTTTGCGTTGTTTTAATTTCTTACAATAAAGAGGTATTGTTTTACAAGAACAATAAATTATTTCCATAGTAAATCATTTGGTCTGTGAAAATTTGATGAAGCCTAAATATCTACCTTGACAATAAATGTGTCTAAGAGGCAACATTACCCGTCTTACAACACACAAACCCACAGAACCAGGGTATCATTTGAAGTTTAAAATATTTATTTTGACAATTTTAGGTTATAAAAGACTTGATACCCAAATATTTTCTAGTCTACTGACAGATACACTTTAATTTTTATCTCCAACTGTATATCAGAAGTATCAGCTAAAAGAATAAGAAATGTGTTTTTAAACTGCACAGCCAAGACAGCCGTGCTGGGAAGCCTTGCGTTCGGCTAGAAGATCTTTCACCCAGACCAAAAAGCCACAGCGTGTTTTCTGAACTTTTTTTAAGAACCTACCATGTGCCAGAAGCTGGAATTAGATGCAAGACTCAGTGTCGGCATCTCTTCAGTCTCCCGGGAGCCGCGCAGGTGACCCGGCAGGTGCAGGAGGCGCTGGTCCTTCTGCCGCAGGGAGAGGCAGCGGCGGTTGGGGCGGGGGCGGCCGAACGGGAGGGGCAGCCACCCGGGCAGGGGCCCAGAGCTGAGAGCAGGCCCAGGTGACTTCCTCCGGCCCGGGTACAGTCTCGGCGAGGAGCAGCAAGGGCGGAGGCCGGAGTGATGGCCAGGGCTGCTCATTCAGGAGTGCCGGGCCAGCTCGGGAAGGGCACAGGGATTTCTCGTGAGAACAGCTGTGGGCCACCCGGAGGAGGGCAGGGCACAGGCAGGACATGAGGAAGGAGGCTGCTGGGGACCCGGAGAGGGGGTCTGAGCAAGCGCAGGGTCAGGAGGTAGGGAGACGGCGGCGGGAATGCGGAGCCGGCCATCCCGGCCACAGGTGCCGCTGGAGGCTCCCGAGGGAGGGCGGAGCGGCCGCGACCTGAAAACCCGTCACGTGGAAGGAGAAGGCGCTGGAACGAAAAGAAGACAATTCACTGATTTATCCACGCGCTGGTCCAAGAGGAGACAGACTGCGCAGTGTTGGTCCGCGGGGAGAGGAGTGACTTAGGGACACGACTGTCACACGCCCCCCTGAGGGTGACGGGCCCTGCGGCCTGAAAACTCGAGCAGCGGAGGCGGCTGCTCGCCAGGTTGGAAACCGGCAGAGTTTGTTGTCGGGCCCGAAGCCAAGCCGGACGCCGGAGGGATGCGCGGGGGCGGGGGCGGGGGTGACGGCGGGACTGTCGGGGGCGTTTGCCGCAGGCATTTCGTCCCTGGTGGGAAGCAGGAGTCCAGACCCGTCAGGCCGGGGCGGGGCGGGGTCCCCTCACCGGCCAGCGCGAGGGCGGCAAGGAGCCCCGCCCGCTCCCCGCGGGCTCCGGGTCCTGAGAAAGGCCGCTCCCTGCACCGGGGGAGCTTTGCGGCGGTCAACGCGGTGAAAGCGTGAGCTTATGACTCAGGGCTTCCACTTTCCAAACCAAGATCCTTATCTTTTTGAGCTGGAATTAATAGTTTGTTTACAGAAAACATTGCACAGACCTCCTTTTGAAGAGCGTGGCGCAGCGTAACGTTTTATTACAAAGTTGGTGGCTTGTAACAACCCGCGTTTATTATTCTTGCCATTTCCGGGGGTCAGGAGTCTGACTTAGCTTAGCCGAGACCTCTGCCGAGGGTCTCGCCAGGCTCCGGTCACCATGTCACCTGGGGCTGTAATCTCATCTGAGGCTTGGGATTCTTTTCCAAGCTCGCTGGTTATTGGCAGAATTTAGCTCCTGGCAGTCGTAGAACTGAGGCCTTCAACTTCTAGAGTCTGCATGCCAGTCCCCACACCGTGGCCCTCCCACAGCGTCGCCCTTTGCTTCTTCAACACCGACAGAAGAGAAACTTTGCTGTTTCAAGTCTCTGACCTCTACATGCTCTTTTAAAGTACTCCCCTGATTAGGTCAGGCCCACCTAGGATAATCTTCCTTTTGATTAACTTAAAGTCAGTTGATCATGGACTTTAATTACATCACCAAATCCCTCCATTCTTGCAACATAACATAACGTAATTAGAGGAATGACATCTCATAATATTCACAGGCTTCTCCTTGAAGGGAACTATTCCAGAGAGTGACTTGCTGGGAATCATCTTAGAATTCTACCTACAAGATCTGCTCCCCAGCACTTTATACCCCCAATTTGAAGGAAAAGAAGAGTGGCTATAGTGCTGTAATAGCAAAGAAAAAAACAATAAACTAAAGCAGTTTATTAGTCAGGGTTCTCCAGAGAAATAGAACCAATAGGAGAGATATATATGTATATATCCATATGGAGATATATATGTCTGTATATATGTACAGAGAGAGCTTTATTATAGGAATTGGTTTGTGCTATTATGAAGGCTGAGAATTTTCACCATCTGCTGCCTGCAAGCTGGAGACCCAGGAAAGCTGGTGAAGTATTTCCAGTTTGAGACTAAAGGCCTGAGAACCGGGAGCCCTGAGGGTGTAAGTCCCAGTTGAAGAGCAAGGGAAGACTGATGTTCCAGCCCAGCAGGCAGGTGGGGAGCGTAAAGTCTCCCTTCCTCCTCCTTTTTGCTCTATTTGGGCCACCAACAGTTTGGATGAGGCCTGCCCCCCTTAGGAAGAGCATCTGCGTTACTCAGTCTACCAATTCAAATACTAATTTCATCCAGAAACGTCCTCACAGACACACCTAGAAATAATATTTAACCAAATATCTGGGCACTCCATAACCCAGTCAAGTTGACACATAAAATTAACCATCACAAGCAGCTGAAACCAGCAAACAGCCATTGATGATTAAGTATCTAGGTACTAGGGTTTTTTTTCCTTTTTGTAATTACTGATTATAGCTTTTAGGTGCCCCCCCCCCCATTGTTACCTGTGCTGCTTAGGCAATATGCTGTCTGACTCCCACTAGGCTCCTATAGATCACATCCCCCTGGAGCCTGGGTCTCCATGGTGATGGGTGTGTGAGCTGTTTTTCAGGAATTAGAACTCCTTGTCCTCTTCAGGCCGATGGAGACCACCAACCCATCAACTGGGCCCGCACGGATGTCCAATAGGCGACCTTTTGACGTCAAGAGGCTAAAAACTCCACTCTCAGATCATGCTAATGCTGCCATTTTGTGAGCATGGGTCCTATGAAGAGGCATGGAGTCTGACTACGCTTGCGTGGATCATCAATCACCTCACCTCTCCTCACCTCCAATCACCTCTCTCCACGTTTCAGACTACCTTGCCCCCATCCCGTAAATATCCGAGTCCCTATTTTCAGAAGCGAATTTGAGGCTCATGCTCTCGCTTCC